AGTATTTTTGCAAAAAAACTTATTATGATTTGAACCATTGCACAACTCACAAGGCTGAAGTTTCACCTTATATCTAGGCAATACATGGCCTTTCTTAAAACATCTGCAAAAACGTCCATTGTTTTTTTTTTTTTTTTTTTAAATAAATATTGCTCTATTTTTCTTCATTTGTTTTCTCACATTTTCCTACATCATGTGTATTTTGATTACAATAGAAAAAAACAATATGGCTTAGTCACTGTGGCTAATGCCGAAGCAGTAGGGAGTGCTTGCCTCTTTTAAGTAATTATTTTCTGTTGCTAAACACCGTAATTTGTGTCTCTTTTCCTTGAGTTTATTATTAAATTAGAAGATTTCTGACTCTCAACTTCCAGTCTAATGAATTAGAGAAGTTCTTTTAGGTTATGTTGCTGTTTAGAGTTTCTTTTTCTGTTAAACTCCAGATTCATATCGTCTGGTAAAAGCTTCAAAATAACAGGTTCTAAAAGGGTCCCATAAGCTTCCAGGACAATACCCAATGAATTTGAACTTCTTATATTGATTTCACAGGAATTGTAAAGTGTTCTTAGTGCTTTCACATTGGAGAAACTTTCAACCGGTTCAAGATTCAAGACTTTGTTCATCTGAGAAGATATAACCGAATCTGTTCGTCCAAATCTTTCTTTAATTAAACTTATCGAAGCGTCATAATTTTCATTAGATAGTGCGAACCCAGATACTGCACTTAAAGCAGGTCCTGCGGCTTTCTTCTTGACCTTTGTTAACTCGTTATTACCAGTAGCATTTCAAAAAAAAAAAAAAAAAAAAGAAAAGAAAAGAAAAAAGAAAGTTATAAAATTCCAAAAATAAACTAGGATCACCATAATATTTAGGAATTGAAATTTTAGGTAAACGAATGTTAGTTTTGTTTTCAACTTTTACGGCAGCAGTATGGTGGTTACCAGGTGATTCATTTTCAATATTCACTGAGAATTTAAATTAAGTTTCTTTTTAGCCCTAAAAATACATAAACTCATTTTTTCATCATAGTCTAACACAATATTACATTTTTTTTCAATTTCGTACTCATCCCCTTTTAAACACTTTAAAAAACTTTTAAACACAGTATTTTTTTATTAATTTCTTTCAATGCAGATTGCTTAGAAGTAAGTAAAAACACATTTTCTTCTACCGTGTTCTTATCCCAAATGTCTTTTTTAATTTCAGGTTGTAAAACATTTATTATTTTAGAAATAGCTTGTCTCATAGTTTTTCTAGCAGCTTTCAATTTAACAATATCATCTGCCATAATAACAACAAAAATAATTTTATTCACTTACCTGCTGCAGGCTTCAGTGATTTAATCCTAATTTATAAACTCACTTTCCAAGAGAAAAGCATTCGCAAGTATTCTGAATGTTTATCCTACCACGTTCAGTGCAAAGGAATAATTTTTCAACATGAAAAGACACTGCAATCTTAAATAAAAAAAACTGTTCATGCTCAACTTTTGGGCGCCAAAAATGTAAAATAATATAATAGAACCATCAAGATTTCATGTTATACCGGCTCTCAAGAAACATTATTTCATTCAAATCACACACAAATCACCAAGTTAAATGAACATTCGAATCAGGTTTCAAACTTCCAGGTTTATTCAAGTCTAACAGGCATTCAACTGGCACTGCCAGATCCAAGAACAAGAAGTATTCATCATGAAAGATTTATGCCCTCTTTGGCAATTAAAACATATTTCCACATAAAATTTCTTGCAGAGGATTGATAGATATGTTAATTACATGCAGATAATAATAATAAAAAAAAAATTGGAGCAAAATATTGAAAGCATCTTAATTTATTGTATGTGAAATATGACCACCATGCAAGGATAATTCAGTGTACATGGAATATGACCGCCATACAAAGAAACACAGTCAGGAACATGCATTCACATGCTTATCAATGAAGTTCTGGTGGATTGTTGAAAAACGGTTTCTGGGACTGCTTTTGAAAATTATGCCTGTAACTCTGCAGTCAGATTAAACAGTGTGCCAAGAAGGAAGACTAGAGAGACACTAAGCATTATGCTGTCCTTATACCATTATATCAGCAGCAGGACCAGTATGGCATTCTCTGATAAAGGCTTGATGGTGGAATTGCTCATATTGTTTAAATAGTGATCTGAGATTATTATTGCTTTTGAGACAGTTGAGTCTTATTGCTGAAGACACAAACAGTCTTTCATTTTTAGCCTTCACTCCTTAGTTGATGTAAATCATGGGAACCATTGAAAAAGAAAAAAAAATGGTGGCTTGGGATTAGTTGAATGCCTGTTATTCTTTATCTGGATCTTGGCTCGGTATTGCAGAAATGTATTTTCATGGTCTGTGTATAAACTGCTGAATTCCAAAGATTATCCAAGTTAACAGCAGTTTAAGGATTATTATGTACCTCTTTAGTAATCCAACATTCTGTTTGAGCAGGGTTTAACTTGTTGTTACTACTTGCTGTTATCATTGGACAGTGGACATTTTGACTTAAATGAGTAGCAGTCTGCTGCAGTGATAAACCAACATCTCTGAGTTCAAGTTTTCTGCTGTCCTTTATTTTAAGTAGGGGGTGATATTTAGTATGTTGAGTCACTGGACTCTTAGACGCAAGATCTGAAGTCTCATGGCAAGAAAAACTTGCATTCAGTTATACTTTTATATTATTAAAGCCCTCCCTACATGTTGCTAATTAATGGCGGGTACTTCAAAATATGATCATTTTAACCTCTTAACTACATTTAGTCTGCCCTGTTTTCAGAACTGCGTGGCATTTCCTTCTTGGTGCTGCAAATTTAGTACTAAGCAGTATGCTATAGTAGAATCAATCAATATGCAACTATTATTGCGTTATATTATTTTAATTGATTGTTATTACTTTTGTTTGGATCATGGGGTTATGAAGTAATATTTTCAAGATGGTTTTCAAGGAAAAAGAGTACAAGAGATTGATTGAAAACGAATCACAAAACTGAAAATCAAAACTCTTAAAACTGAAAATAAACTTTTATAAAGGCATGTATTTAAAAAAAAAAAAAAAAAATAGGTAATTGGATGTTCCGAAAGTTCAGATTCTCTTATCATTCTAAGGAAATGTGCACTTGTATGATTAAATTGTGAAATTTGCATATTTTATTAACGGTATAAAAGTGAACGAAGTCTTTATACAAGAGAAAAAAGAGGAATAAAGTCAAATGTGAAAACCATTGCAGTTTACGATAGTAAGTTCATGAGGCTGCCAGATAAAAATTAGAAAGAAGGACATTGTTGAAATTTCCATGGCTCTTTATGATAAATGTTGCTTTTATCATGTGCTAGCTAATGAGAAATTTCATAATGCAAAACCATGACAGGACATATGTTACAAGATAAATAACTGGCAGATGGATTATGAGATTATCAACAGCCAAAGAAGTCTTTTATGTCAAAGCAAAAGGGGGTCTGGCAATGAAGTATTTCAAAGCTTATTTCAGTTTTGCATCTGGATTACAAAGTTTTCAGTTCTAAGAAGTTGGCTCACAATTCTCTTTTAAAGTATAGCCCCCCAAAAAGTAACAATTACATTGGATTTGCAAATACATGTACTGCAGGGAATTAAGCCAAAGGCCAAAAAAAAGGGGGGCTGAATTTAAATGTAAGGGTTACTGGACAAATTAATTTTAGGAAAGAAATAAGGCTTTTGTTTTACGATAGACAACAAGGAGATGAATAATTAAAGTGTGGGAAGATTGCCCTGTCAAATTTTTAAACAGAAACAAAAGTCAGTTAATTATTGCTCCCTTGATGGCTTGAGATGATTGCTCCCTTGACGGTCTCTTGATGGCTTGAGATGGGGATTTCAACATTACTGCATCATCATATGTTTTCCCAGCTTGACAAAACAGTAACGAATGCAGAAAAATATGCTGTATTTGAATTAACCTATCTTGATCACTTATTTCAACATAGTTAAGAACATCTGCACATCTTAACATCTTTTTTCTACAGCAATGGACAACACTTCTAACTGCTGAAGAATTAAATTTGGCTGTTTATTACTTACTGCTGGAAAGACTGCAAAATTTAGTGTCATATGTAGAAAAGTATTTGAAGCAGTCTTAAATCAGGGCAACTGCGTTAAAATATATATTAGTTTCTGTGTATTTTCAGGACATTTATCTTTACTGAGTTTACATTTTCAAAACACGGAATGTCAAGTTTGATTAATGTTGCTATTATTTTGTATTTTGATAATGCAAAATCTGTTGCCTTGATGAACCTCAAATGCTGCTTTGTTTAATTTTTACCTGCTTTCCATTAATTGGGGCTTTCAATTGGGCCTGAATTTCTGATTTACATCACATTTATAGACATCAATTTTCCAGTCTGCGTGCCTCGAAGGTACATCCTCAAAGCATAGCTATTATCAGTAAAAATCATAGACACCAAGATTTCTTTTTAAATCAGGAGGGGGCATAAGGATCTATTTTTTTCTAAGCTACTTGTTTTTTCAGTAGGAATTTATATCAGAGGCACTGCTGTATTGAGATCACAGATTATCATTACAATAACTTTTATGATTTGGCTTTCTGTAAATGTCATCTAGCCATCTTTTTCATTGCATTGTTATAATCCAAATCTATTGCTTTCTTTCTCATTCTGGCCAAATATCAATTTTGGAAATGTGTAAAGTAACTTTATTCTAATTTCTAAAGAATAAAGATTTCTAAGTAGATACAAGTTTTTTTCTGTATGCTCAGTAGATATTGGAATCTACACACACACACAAAATGCCAAGGTTATGTAATTACTGAGGCTGTGTGTGGGCACAATGTCAAGGGGATGGTTTTGGAAATTGATCATTGGTTCAACAGTATTACTTAATGCTTATCTCTAGTTTCTGGTTAATGTAGGGGCAGTATGTTAAATATTATAGTTTAAATTATAATTTTGCAAGTCACTGATTACAAATCTAATGAATAATAATATTTATAGGAACTTTCCTGCTTTGTGAAACGCTGTTACCTTGTAGTGAAAAATGTGATTCATCAATTATCAGCTTTATATTGTGGTGGTAAAAATGAAACTGCAGTAATTGATGTTACTGATGTTCACTTTCAGGTAAAATGTACTATGCTTTCTTAAATTAGTTTTGATTGTGTTTACTGAGCAGTTATTTCTGAAATTACAATAGAGTATAAAAAAATGCATACTGCTTGGGACCCGAGGTTGTGTACAATTTAGAGTTTTATGGATTTTAAACCTGCAAAACCCTGAAATTCAAACTGTCCTAAAATTTTAGTTTTGCAGATTTTTATATCATAAAAGAAAAGTAATTAGATATACAGTAAAAAATGGAAGAAAAAAGTAACTTTAAAAAATAAAAGACGCTTTTTGACTTTTAATATTAAAAAAAATTTTTTCAAACATGTATTAAAATTAATTTGTTGGGTATTCTAATTTGGGTCCCAGTTTCCTCAAATTATACAGGTATTAGTTTTTGATAAGTCACAGTTTTGTTGATCAAAAATTTTTTTTTTTTTGTTTAATGAATACTTGCAGAATATGCAAAATAGAATGATCCAGTGTTGCTTCTAATAAACCTTTCATTTCTTGGTAAAGCTTTTATGCTCAATTTTTAGTTAATCTAAAATTTTTGTTAAAATTTAAATCAGGAATATTGAAGAAATGTATAATTGTAATTCCATATTTATTCAAAAGTACCACCCCCTTAAATTTTAGAATACATTTTAAGAAATAAAAATATATGTGCCTATGTGATGAGAGTTTGGTTCTAATTAGAATTTATTTGATTCAGATTAAAATGTAAGGTAAGCTAACTAGTAAATGCAATATTTTACCATAGTATAGAGTTGGGAAAAGTCAGTTTGACATTGTTATCTGTTTCTTTACGAGCATTCTAGTATCTGTTTTTTTGGGGGGTTTTCCAGTGACCAATATCCCAAGTAGCACTTGTCGCGGATGTCATTGCAAAAACATTGCAATGCGTCATCTTTAATAGCGGTTGTTGATTGAAACTCGTCGGCAGTCGTGCATTCATATCATTTCCCAAGTAGTACAGCAATGTCGTAACTCGTCGTGGATGTTGTAATATATTGTCTTTAAGACGCCCAGATGTCCCTGAACATCCACTGTTTTGCAACCATTGCAAAGATGTCTTTATTACATCTTTGCAGATGAAGTTTTTGTTGCATAGACATCGTTATTGCGTCTTTTGCAGGTGATATTTTGGTTGTGAAAGCATTGTATCGCATCTTAAAGACACCTAAATGTTTGCCAATTTCTACCTTTTTGCAACAGTTGTGAAAATGTCCTTATTATGTCCTTGTGTTACATATTGATTTATGCAAAAAAATAACCTTAATAATTAATATATTTTTCTTTTTTAAAATTTTGTATTCCTTGTATTTATCTTGTATCTTTATAAAAGTTTAAATATTTTATCATTGCCTGAAAACCAGAAGATAATACAATTTTTTCTCTTTAGACTAAATATGCATAATTAATAATAGCTTTAATTATTTTCAGTACTTTAAACTATATTTTTTAAATAACTTAAATTCTAAGTTACGATTATTTAAGATTTCATCATTTTCCCCCCTTAAGTGAGAGTAATTATGAAAGTGGTTATTATAAATATATAACATTAATAGTAGGCTTTAAGTAAATAAAACTCAATTAGACATAAATAAAAGTAAAGATACATATGTGGGTAAAAAAAAAGAGCGTTTCTGATAACAGCATTATCACATTTATTTCTGTTAAATCTCAGAGGCATTGAAAATTGCCCCTGTTTCTGATAAATTAGGAAGTGGTTCTTAAGGTAACATAATTAGTATTTCACCTGAAGTCAAGTATAAATTTATTCGCGTTTCACAGTAAAAAATATAACCATTAACTTATACTCCACTTATACTACTATATCTCCAAGATATGCAAGTAAAAGACAGTGTAAAATATTAAAATAAATGTGATCAAAAATATACCTAAATCTAATAACTTCCCATATTCATATCTAAAATGAAATAATAACCTAACAAACAACATACATGACAGCACTATTTAAGAAAAAACATGTAGTGTTTGAAAGTATAAATTGCAGTAGGAAGGTAACAGAACTAAAATTTCCAATTAATAAAAAAAGATTTTTTTTTTTTAATAGTAAGCAATTAAAAGTGCAATAATTATGGATTCACAGTATTTACTAGTAATGCTGATGTTTCTTAACACCAAATTCTTTCGATCATATGTAAAATATATTTACCTATTTTTAGTTTCTACATTTTAGAATAGTGCTAGATTACAGTAATCATTTCAGGCACTTTTTATAATCAATCTTTTGATACTGTACAGAAATAATTTAAATAATATAGTAGACAATAGTAAGCTAAGTACGTTAAAGTAAGCTCTTCATTAAATAGCACACGATGATACATTTTGTTTCTATTTATTATGAATTGCTTTGTTATCACAAGCACATAAAATGTAAGCAAAGAATATACTTAAATTATGGAATTTAATATACTTAAATGACTTACTTAATATACTTATTTAAGTATAATGAATATACTTAAATTTGATAAAGAACAAAACCTAATTTCCAACGTTCATTTATTGAGATAATCTAATAGACATACATAACAGCAATATTTAAAAAAATGCAAATTACGCAGTGTTTGGAGGAATAGATACCAAACAACAAGTAATAAAACTGCAATTTGCAATTGATAAAAAAAATATTTAGTGTTTTCAATACTACACAATTAAGTATGGCATAATTATAGATTACAATATTTCATTTTAATGCTAATGTTTCCTTAACACTATTTTTTCGATAAGTCTAAGCACCAACCTGTATGATGAACACAATAATTGATTGATATGAATGATATACGCTATAGCACTTAGGATGCTATAACCGAATCCATGTATCCAAATATAACGGTAATTCGTGTATCCAAATATAACGATAATCCGTGTATCCAAATATTGAACTGCTGTAGCCACTGAAAATTGGATAACCACAATATAATTTTAATCATGGCAAAGTATAAAACAAAACAGAACACTATTTAACTCTATAGACGATGTTAGCACGTACAAGCAGATATTCACAAACAAAATAAGCAGAAATTCGGCATTACAACGAAGATTTTTCCTCAATTCAAAATAAACTGCCGTCATTATATTTTTTGTACGTCGTTCTCTTTCTGTATTGAAGCTCTCCAGTATTTAATTCCGATGGTGAATTACAAAACCGTGAAGAAAATATTTCTGAAAATAAAAAGGAGTTTGAAATTATTGAGTCGTTAACTGACTTGTTCGAATTTGGCAGCTAACCAAAGTGCGCAAGGCTCGACCTGAGATGTTCGTTTGTATAATCATCTAGTAAATATGTACATGGAATGTCAATCTCTCGAACAGCAGTTTAGTCAACTTTTCAGCGGTTTATACAATGTCATTAAACATTTAGACGGTTCTTCTGATAATTTAATAGAATCTTTCTTAAATGGCACAGAAGAATTATTTCAACTGAATAGAATTATGAACAATGTTCACAAGATTATATTTTTAAAAAAAATATTTATCGGGCTCGCTAAAACATTTGTAATGTCTAAACATTTGTAATTTGTAATGTCCTGAGTGTACCGTATACTAGGATTAAATCAAGCATTTTTAAATGCATGAAGATGGACAAAAGGGTAACAAACAGTTCATCAAAACTTTTATAGGTAATGAATTTCGTATTTGTGTTCACAGTTTCCCTAATTTTGATGTCAACATTTATTAGTAATTTATCAAAGCCATTAATTTTGTCATTTTACATTAAAAGTGTTAACATTTCTTTCTCCTCTTCCATTAATTTTCCGTCAGATATTTTGGACAGCCTTTAAATATGCATGGATATGCAACGTCTTTTAACATTGGACGTTTTCTCGTAATTTTTAAAATCGCCCCATTTATAATCGTGAATACATCTTTACGCACAATCATATCTTCACGAAAATTGTACTTTTTGATCTGCATGCGGTAAAAATGTTTCATATTATGTCAGCATATTAATTCAAATAAATTTGTCCGTACTTCAGAAATAATAAATAAAGTCATATTTCAGCAGTAAAATAATTGCTAACATGTGATTTGCATTGATTTCAAGAATATGATTTTTTAAAATATATAAAATGCATAACTTAATAACTTACGTTATAGATTACTTTCATTTTTAAATATTTTGCTATAATATTTATAAAAAGATATTTAAGTATTAATTATTTTAACAATAATTTAGCACATATTTTTAGTACTAATTAAATTTAATAATTCAAGTATTTATATATTAAATTTATATTTCATTAGATGAGTCTACCTTAAATTAATATATTTAGATGAAATAAAGTAATGAAACATTGCAAAATAAATCTTATGCGGTCTTCAGATTCTTGAAAGGGCAGATTTAGTCTCTTTTCAAAAGTAACACTGATGAACTATGAAAAAGATGCCAAAATGACCACGCTTAAAAGCGGTCATATCATGACACTGCAGCGACGTTGACAAATTGCCAAGATGCAACGGCAAATATTTTGCATCTTCGTAACGTTGTAAAGACATCGTAAAAGTTACCATGACCACTTTGCAACCTCTCGGACCAGTTTGCAATGTCCTTATGACGTTGCCGTGCTACTTATGATAGGGTATGCAGACCTGAGTTGTAATTTCTAGGCTAGATTTTGCTTAAAATCAGCAGTAGTTATGCAGTTTATGTGTATGATAATTACCCATGTAGTTTACTTAGTATTTAACCTTTTCTTGGGGGTTGGGACATATATGTCCCACACGTTCACTACTTTAAATGTGTCTCAGAAATTTCAGTAAACTATGAAGATTTAAAATTTACTCCTTAATATGGATTAGGAAGTGCAAGACCCTGTCGATTTGTTTTTCTGTTCCTTTCAGTTAAAATAAGTGACTAAATGGCCAAAATACATTCGAAATTGGACCCTATAGCCCATGGGAAAAGGTTAAATAATGTAATTATAAGTGTATTATATAGTATGATGACTGAATTCTTCCTTTCATCCTGCGATTTCATTTATCAATTAAATTTTAAAACCAAAGGTATAGCTGACAAGAAGGTATGTCTTATATTAAATGCAACATATCATTAATATATGTTCTGCCTTGATCATTTTAGATATGCACCCCAGTTAATAAATATATCATATTTGGCTGAGGTAAGTAATCCTATCAGCTTAGGTTAATGTGTATTTTGCCATATGCTGTTAGTATGTATGTTTCATACTAGCAGCTAATTGGCTTAAGCTGTGAAACACTGGTAGTTAATCAGGGGTTCTGTTCCGAGAGACTGAACAGTGCAGTTGCCTTTTGGTTTTCCTCATATCTAATGTGAATACAAGTGTTCACTTGGAAAATACTTCATGAAGGCTTCCCTACTTACGCAGATAGCCATTGTGTCTTTTTTGTAATAATTTAACTAAGTATAGTCAATCTGTGAGTTTCATATAAAACTTTGTACAGTTGTGCTCAGTATCTGCTGATTCAGTATCTGTAGTTAATCATGAACCCCATAAAGCTTCTTGTAAATGAAAGGAATGACTTCTAACTTTCAAATTATGCACTAGCAAGAATTAGATATAATAATGTGAAATTCAGTAGCCTTAATGTAGCCAATGCCATCTCTTCCAATTAGCTCTGTCTTAATCATAATGCACGTATGATTCAAAATGAATGATTGATGTATGGACCTTTGACTAAAAGCATGATTTTTATATTTTTCATTCCTCAGAACTTTGCATGAGATTATATATATATATTTCCATCAATGGGCACTTAGCTAACTTAGGCTTGAGCACTACTAATGCCGGTAGTAGTGGCCATTTTATAGTGCAAGTACCTGATAGGTGGGCCACCATTACCTTCTGTAAAGAGATGGGCAATTATAGACATGTCTTCTGTGGGATTCAAACCCAGGCCCTTCAGTATCACAGTAAGCTCCCTTAACACCTATACCGTCTATGCAGCACACAAGTTTATATGAGGATAGTATTTTCCACTGTTGTGTTGTCTTTTGAGAATTAAGCTAAAGTAACAGAATCCTTTACTCCCATGTCTGTGAGAGAAAGCACATTTTCATGTAATTGCAGTAAGTCTTGGAATGTATTATTATCTGCAGTTGCAAGGGCACTACTGTACCATGTTTTCTGTACAAAAGGTTCTAATCAAAAATAATTCTGTATTTTCATTTTATTATTAGTTGATTTCAGTGTAAATTTTCTTATTCATTTAGACTGTTTATAAGCACTTGGGATCACTTTTAACTGCTCTAGTCACATTAGATGAGATTATAGATGGGCAAGTGACCCTTCGAGAACATTGGACTCAATATAAAAGAATGTTGGTATCAATACATCACAATCCATCGAAATTAGGGTTTACAGCTGAGAAGTTAAGACCATTTGAGAAGCTGATGAGAAAATTAGAAAACCAGCTATTGGATGGATGTATATTTTTGGTATGTAATCAAAATACTTTATTTGTATTTTAGCCTTTTACTTTCTTGTGTAGTTTACCATTTTAGAAGCCCGAGGCCAAATCAAATATGCTTATGGCTTAAAATTAAACAAAATGCAATATCTTGAAATATTAAAAAAAATATCATGCTGGAGGGGGTGGCTGGTTTAAAGTGAATGTGAAGTGTTCTAATATGAAAATTCCCTCAAAAAAGCTTGTACTGTGAAAAGAAAGTAAAGCAACAAAAATTAAGGATACTAAATCATAAATTATTCAAAATGTTTTTTCAAGTTATTAATAATTTGTAAAATATCAATTCTTTACGCAGAGGAAAGAAAGTTTATTTTCAACTCAGAGGAAAGAAATTTCAGAATTTCAATTCAGAGGAAAGAAAGTTTCATATTTAGTGTTGGGAAAGGGGAAGTGGGGGGGGGAAAAAATAATTGAAAGTAAACTAGCATGTCCAGAAAGTGGGAAATTTTATATATTTTGTGGAACATAGGAATGAAGTTTAGAATATCATGTTGCTTGGTTTCCAAGAGTCATAATTCATAAAAGACAAAATGTCCAGGTAACATCTGTGCATCGTGTTGTGCATGTGAAAATGTAACATGATATATTAAAAAAACTAGAAAATTGCCTTTTTTGTTTTTTCTAGAAAATTGATATTTTTTACCATTCCTGTTTTAAAAAAAGCTGAAGAATTGGTTTGTATCACTTATGAAAGTTTTAAGGCTTTATAAACCTAGATTCCCCAGTGTTGGAATTTAAAATTATGAAGCACATAATGATGAAATGATCACCTTTGTTAAAGATTTGGCATTTGTTTGGATGTTTGTTTTCTGATCTAGCTGATGATTCCGAGGGCTTAAATTTCACACTGATTTGTATGATAGCTAAGCAAGGATATATGTGATATGTCTGTTACTTCATAATGAAATGAATTCTAACTCAAAAATTGAAAATGAATGAATTCTAAATCAAAATTTTTTAAAGTGTAAACAACCTATTTTTGGAGAAGGTGTATATGAAATTTTAGTTCTTGGATTTTCCATCTCGGCTGTATGTAGCATAGAAATTACACGTACCGCTTACAAACAAACTTCCCTTTATTACAAGAGGACAGAAAAATGTATGTATGGTTTGCAGTTTTGTTTTCAGCCAATTAGTGCATTGATGGAAGACAGCTGCAGCAAGCCAACAGTTTCTCAGTAGGGTAGAACTTAAATCTTCCTAGGTAATTGGGAATGTGAATGACCCCATATAAACAAAAACTTGGTTAGTAGAAACTAAATTTAATTCATGCCAGTTTTTCTTTAACTATTTTTTCTGAAACTGATTATTTGTAAATTTGAAAATAAGTATACGAGTGTAGTTATTAATATATTATCCATGCTTTTGTTACCAGATAAAATTTGTTTCCTGTAGGTAACAAATAATTCATACAGAATTTTTGTTTTCTGACAAAATATATATATATTAAAAAAACTGGGAAAAACCCTATTAAAATTTGTGCAGACTGCGAAATCATAGCAAATTTCTTTCCATTTTTATGAGACTTTTTTTTTAAATGAAAATGTAAGTTAATCTTTATTTTGCTGTAATCCTATAACTATATCAACTACTGCATGATTATGCAAGTTTTTGATCAACAATTTTTAATCCATAGTAGAAGCATCATGACATTGCTTTAAATACTAAAGAGTTTCGCTGAAGTTATCAGTGGCTACTAGTTTTTGAACAGTAAGATCTCAGAATACCAGTAGCTGCTAATTTACTGGCTGCATGGATGTTTTCATGGTTTCTGCATATGTTATGTGCATACATGGACAAATCCCCTAAAAAATCGTCCACACCTTACTTTCAGCAGAGAGCTTTTGTGTGTTTTGGCATAATCATAATTAACCAAGACCTCAGCCTGACTAATTTTCACATTTTTCATTTCTACATCATTACAATTTTATTGTTCTTTGCCTTTATGTTACAAATATTTTCTTTGTAATTAAAAACTTCAAAAATTGGTTCTCTGTTTTGTACATTAATCCATTCTAAATGTCATCCTCTTATCCTTTGAAATATGCTGCCAAATTAGTAGTCAGTCGGCACTGCTTTCATTTTTAAAACATGTAAGGCATATTGCACAATAGGAGGATTTTTAATCCATAGGAGAATCAATAGGAGGATTTTTAATCCATAGGAGAAGCATCATAACATTGCTTTAAATACTAAAGAGTTTTGCTGAAGTTATCAGTGGCTACTAGTTTCTGAACAGTAAGATCTCAGAATACCAGCAGCTGCTAATTTACTGGCTGCATGGATGTTTTCATGGTTTCTGCATATGTTATGTGCATACATGGACAAATCCCCTAAAAAATCGTCCACACCTTACTTTCAGCAGAGAGCTTTTGTGGGTTTTGGCATAATCATAATTAACCAAGACCTCAGCCTGACTAATTTTCACATTTTTCATTTCTACATCATTACAATTTTATTGTTCTTTGCCTTTATGTTACGAATATTTTCTTTGTAATTAAAAACTTCAAAAATTGGTTCTCTGTTTTGTACATTTATCCATTCTAAATGTCATCCTCTTATCCTTTGAAATATGCTGCCAAATTAGTAGTCAGTCGGCACTGCTTTCATTTTTAAAACATGTAAGGCATATTGCACAATAGGAGGATCGTTAAATGACCCATTAGTGATATAAAGGCTTTAAAAGATCCATTACTAATAAAATTCATGAATGTTCCTGATTTTTGCTATACTCTTTCTAATGTTACTATATTTTTACAGTTATTTCTTCAAGTGATTCATAACTTAGTTCATAAAGATAGTTTGGTTGATTGAGACACAGTTAATAGATTGTTGTAATTGGAAATCAAAGATTTATTTATTTGTAAACTACAATTACCAAGGCTAATCTGATAATTATAACTAATCTGATTTATAAATATGCACATTACTTTAAATTTACAATTTACATTTGTGTTTTTAAGATACAGTTAATTATTTTTTTGGGCTCTAATCATGATATTTTTTCCAGCGATGTGTTGAACAAATTTTTGATGATGAGAAAAATTTTGTGTCGAAGAATAAATTTTTTGCTGAAGAATTTGCTCTTAACATTAAGAATCAGTTCATAGTGATGGAGCCAAAGTTAGGTAAAGATATTTTGTGTATGCATAAATGCAGTGAATAATATTTAATTCATATTTGTAATGTTAGGAACAGTACTAATATTTTTTTTATTATTATTTAGGTGAAGTTAATGAATTTGATGCTCGGCTAAAGCTTCCTGATATCTGCTGTCTGTTTGTTTTACATTTTTATTTGTTTCGTGTCATTGATAAGAAGTTCTTTAAATCTCTGTGGGACACACATAAAAAGGTATTTTTAGAAACCTTAATTGAAAAAAAATTCATCTTTAGTATTAAACAGGTGCCTGAAGTTATCCTTATAATAAAGTATAAAGCAATAAATTGGTCAGATTTATTTTTTATGTAATGACTAAAAGAACATAATTATTAACAAAAGCAATTTTTCCAGTCTGTTTTTGATATGCAAATAGTGACATCACATCATGCAAACTCCTAGCAGATACTTTAAATGCGGTGAATACACTCATGAACTTCTGCAGTTTAAAATTTGATTTTAGTGTTTATTAAATCATCATAGCCTTTTATTATTTCGAAGTTTCTTTAAGAACCATATCACAGATTAAAAATATTTCAGAACAACTGCTTAGTGCAATTTCTCTGACAAGGGATATTTCCTACTCATCATCACTGATTTTACTCAAATTTATAGGACATGCATGGCTTGGCTAGAAATGAAAGTACTCGAAGTGGGAACTCCAGATGGCCAAGCATTTAGAAAATAAAAAAGTTGAAGTGGCTCCTCTTACTGTATAAACCATTTACGTTAGCGTGTTTGTCAAGCAGTAGTTGGCATAGCGGTAAGAGCTCTGACTAGTAATTCGATGATCGTGGGTTCGAGTCCTCGTGTGGAGACTTTCTTTCCTTTTTCTAAATTTTTATATTAATCTTTTTCCAACTAAGCAAAGAGGTGAATAACTTATTTTATTTATTTATTTATATGCAAAAGGTAAAAAATTGGGATTTCGGACTTTTCAACAAGGGATTGTAATTAAAGTGCATACGAAAAGACTTTGTACATTAAAATTCAAAACTTTATTCATTGATGTTGGATGATTTACATGTGTCAAGGTGATATTTATCGTAGAAACAAGAATTAATTATTTCTGCATCTAGCACTAATTATAAATGCCGCATTTTTACAACCACATCATTGTTTCAACGTTGCCATAGAAAAACATACTTGATTGACATTCATAAAGCATTCTCTCTCATCGTAAAGTTTAGAAGCAAATAATGCTTAATGTAGCTTGTTACCGAATATTGCCGCGAATAATTGATGATGAACAACAACAACAATAATTGGCATTCCCTGCTCCGCGAACTTAATCGCACTACAGGTCCCCCCCCACTCCTTAGAACCAGACTCGGAGGTTCAACCTCCTTTCTGGTCCCTTAGAGAGGGAGGCGCACCGCCCAGGCAATCACCTGGTACGGCACTGGTTGTCATTTGCTACCCACCAGTCGCTCGAGCTGCCCGTTGCAGCGGGTCATTACCCAGCATACCCGGGGGAAGGTATTTTTTAACCTGACGATAAAAATATAGATCACAGGGTTGTACCAGTGGGGTACATTTAAGAGTTGCTTTGATGTTACATAATGGCAATCCTTCTTCATCTTGGAAGAGTACATCATATAATTGCGGATTTGTCCTCGCCACGAGTCACTCAGCAGAAGAACTTTGTTCTCTTGTACGTAAGGTTTCATCACAGCCGTTAAAAATTTTGTGTACAATGCTATTGTAAGTTTTCCAGATTTTGAAGAAGTGATGCCGACATTCTTGTATTTTGCTGTGTATTCATCCACCATTTTTTGAATCCTCTGTCAAAAAGAGACAGTATTCTCTTGTAAGCATATGTATACTTTAGGCAATAGCATATAGCACATTGCGCTATATATGAGTTGGTTACTTTGTTCATATCCTTTCTTTTTACAAAAACCGTTTTTACCCCTAAATGTTCCAGGGTTCAGTTATATGTTGACTGGTACTGGAAAGAGAATATATGCATGTAAATTTATTATACATGCCGTTAAACAGAGTATTTCGTTTGAGGCAGACAAATAAGAATTCTTGACTTACCTGGTTGATCAGTGTTGATAACAAAATCTGTGTATTTAGGAATGAGAGCTCGATTTTGGAGTCGGAACTTATCTGCCGTAGCAAGGATTTCCTCTTGTGCAACAATACCATGTCTCAGTTCAGAAATATTTTAAATCTTAGATTACATCAAATCACAGTGGACAAATTTTGAGTGAAATGGAGGCTTAGTGAGTCTCAGAGGGAGAAAAATAATGCTTAATGACAGAGAAAAAGTGAAGGAGTTGCCTTATCAAAACAATAACATTTACCTCATTTATCACTTATGCTGTCTACTCTTTTTCATACAGATGCAATAAAATTAAAGCAAGTTTTTATCTAATCTGTTTAATATGATGTTCATCTGTTTGATTTTATATTTAATGAATTTAATTGGTTTGGGGTTAAAACTTGTGCATAAAATACTGTTGTAAAGTATAAATAAACAAGCATCTGTGGTTCAAGAATGAATTAATCTTTCTTACATTAACTTCTGTGGGCAAAATTGCTTTGGTCACAAACATTTTGGCTGATGAATGACCTTTAACCTTTTGTGGCACACCTAAAAATTTCCTTCTGTACACAGAGAAAAATTGAATCAAAAATGATTTATAGGTTACTCTGAACTTTCTTTAGTTATAGTAGATGGCAGCCCAAGACAAACCAGTCCATATATTTTAGCCATGTTTAATTTTTAAAGACCATTTTTTTTCAAACGAATCTTCCAATATTTTTAGGATATGAAAGGAATTGTTTCAAAAGATATTTTTATGTTATCTTTTTGGCTGTATGCTAATCTCCTTATTCTATATTAGTTTTAAATTTTTGCTTGAAATCTTGCCTAAAATCGAACAGTGAACATCAGGTGTGCCCAGAGTGGACTCTGAGACTAGGACAAGACCAAAACCTGTATCTTTTGTTTCTCTGCAGCTCATGAGTCAGGTCTTTCAAAACAGAAAGGTGGGTCCACATGTACGTTTCATTTCCTGTTTTTCTCTTTCTTTTTTTTCTCTTTTTTGGGGGGAGGAGAAGGGGAGGTTTGGTTTTTAACTGAGAAATTGTTGGGGTGATTTTCTGAGGGTCAGGTAGTTTTGTCAGTTAGCTATTTGGTTTTTTACTAGAGCGGTTCTCTTTATCTGTTTTACTTTCATTCAAATACGTTTTGTTAGCACTACGTTTAATAATTTTGAGTTGTAGATGTTTATTTTATAGTTTATAATTTCAAATTGTAGATGTCATATTAGTAATATTCGGATTTTAAATTATTTTCCAAATGGATTGGAGAGGGCTGACCATTTCTGAAGCACTGAAAGTGGTACATGAATTGCTTTCAGATAGTGAATCTGATTTGGATCCCGGTATATGTGCGAAACATGCAATATCGGGTTGTGCTTTTTCAAAGGTGGTGTCACTTTCTTTGAAAAGTACCACCATGAACAAAATAGATGAAAAAAAAGAAAATAGATGAAGAATAGTAAATATGAAATGTAAATATCATATACCCAAGTTACATTTTCCCCCATTCACATGCATACAATCATCGTATAACCAAGAAGAGCTTTTTTAGGGGGTGTAGAGTAGCAGACCTGCCCATGGCACACCCTGATAATGCAAAATCTGCTACAATATTCAGAATTTAGTTTTTTTTACTTGTAGGAAAAATCTCTTACTCTTTTACGTGCTTCTCAGCAATGCTCATTTCAACACTCTTTTCGAAGCTTTATTCATTGAGTGTGCCAGCTTCGGGCACACCCACAAAATTAAAATGATAAGTGCTATCTATCTTCACAAAATTTTGTGAATGGAGCATCTATAGAAATACATTGATGCACGCATGGAGCATCTATTGAAATTTGGATAACTATAGTTTCACTGTAAATTTAATTTATCAGAGTAATTACAGTGTTCACAGGTATGCTTTCATTTTGTCCCATTCAGTATGAAACACCGTGTATGTTCCTTTATTCATGATAAGTGTTTCGCTGTTCTTGCAACTATAATTGCTGAGAAAGTATCGGAAGTGGGCTTCTGACTCAGTTATGGATTTATATTCAGTTTAACATCTGATTCTAAATTCATTTGTAGTTTAAGGGAGCCTGGAGCAAAACATTATGTTAGCCAGGAACTTCTCTCTGCAACAGTAGAGAATATGAGCCTTATGGCAGCTCTGATGTGATGGTATGAACACTATCTAATGATTTTTAAAGGTTTGTATGGATCAGAACTTCGGTTTTATGGATCATAATATGGACATTATGCAAACATGGTTGATGAATTTCATGAATCTAAAAAGACATAGAGCAAATAAAATAACCAGAAAAATCTCCTGTTGCTTCATATGCTGTGAAACTTCCCCACCATGATTTATCTTTAGGAACAGATTTGTTCATATACTCTTTAGTGTATCTGTTTGCTTTTTGGACTATCATTTTTAGTATTCAATTATTATAAAAAATCAAAATAATCCAAAATACTTGCAGTATTCACCATGTTCAATGTCATTTCTGGTTTGTCAGAAGAAAGAAATGAGGCAGGAGGCATCGAATATTTTCATACCTTATTTTGCACCACTGACAAGCATTTTGAATGGTTAATGAGACTTTCATATTCATTATTTCTTTCATAATAGCTGTCACTGTCTTCAAAATGGCTAAAATCACTTTCAGAATCTGATATTTCTTCAGAAACACGTAATCTGTCATTTTGCTATTTATCTGCTGAAAGCCTCGACTAACCCGTTCGTGGCGACTGTCACGTCTACGTGCCAGCAACGAACACACTCACCTACCGGCCGACACGCAGGCGTGACAGAGCATTTTCTCGTTTACTATCTACTGTCACGTATTTGTGCCAGCGTCCTGGAATGTTTTTCAAACTATAATTTCTGCCACAAGATGGCACTGTATGTCCATATGGTTTCAGATACATGTACATTAGACCTTCTACTCGAAATGAGAGAAACATGACTCACATACACGTGTTTTTGATTATATAAACAAACGGGGAACTAAATGTTTCCGAATGGCGTGATTTATGATCTCTCTTTAACTCGCATTTTATTCGCACGTGGTAGTTGTTTATTGTAAGTAGAAGTTTTATATGCGCTAAAGCATTGAGTATTTCGGTTTACAGTTCAGTTTTTAGAAAATAATTAT